TATATATATATATATATATATATATCAAACCTGAATATACTTTTAGAATTAAAAAAAAAAATAAATTATAACATAAATAATTTTAAAGACGGTTCAGTTTCTTTTTAAATGAAATTCAAGTGACTAATAGAAAAAAAAAATTAAATAAAAAATATAAAATAAATATATAAAAAAATATAATAGTAATAATAAAAATTCAAAATTAAAATAGAAAATAAAAAAAAACTAAAAATAATAAAAAGTAATTAATAAATAAATAAAGAAAAATGCAAATAGCCCAGCTACAATTCAATATATAATTCATTATAAAATATATATGAAATACATCAAAAAGTTCGCCTTTCCATTTGTTTAGTGAAAAAGTGGAATTCATAATAAATCATAATGAGATTAAAGTAAATTAATAATATTAAATGGAATAATAACGTTAATCTAGTTGTAGTTTAATTTTAAATATCTGCCAGTCGAGTACACCCAACTAACGCACTTTAACCTATTTCATCTGTTTATCTGTCATTAAATGCTAAATCAACTATAAAAACTCTGAGCACTACTACGTTCCATTTATTGGCATATACAATGCCAAGCAGTGCTTCGCTTAGACAAAAGAATAACACCAGACTGATTTGGGCTGCTATTGTTCTACTGATGAGACTTAGACTTGCTTCGAATTAAATTTAATTTTAGCATTTATATTTTAGAAACTTGAATTTCTCCATAAAGTGTTCTCAGATATGAAAACATGTTTATGCATGCAGAGCATATTACGGTATAATTGGTGTAGTAGCTATTGTGAAAGCAAATATTGATGCAAATGTGTGATAACAAATAGATTGCGGTACTCACTCCACTTGCTGCCCTTCAGGACCGGACAGCCGGCGTGCTTGGTGCGATAGTCCTTGTCCGAGGAGCGATGCAAATTGTACCAAAACAAAATGTTGCCTAGCTGCGGCCGCACGGCAAAGTTGAGGAAGGGAAATGCCGTGGCGCCGCCCTGCTCCACATCCGATAGCTGCAGCGGGACCGTAATGGAAACATGTTGAACATGAGTCGGTGGATTCATTGGGGCAACTTACATAAAATATGGCCGTGGCGATGCGATTGCCCTCGGCGGCGGGATAGTGCCGCGAATCACGGAAGAAGTCCCAGTGGGGCTCGTAGTGCCCGCCGACGCCGTAATTGGCCACCTGCAGTTGCTCGCAGTAGGTCATGTCCAGGCCGGTGGCGTCGCCCACGTCGCGCAACATCCGCCCCATCATGGGGTGCGTGCTGTACGGCAGCCAGGCGTTCTTGCTCACGCGGAACGCGGACTTCATGCGCTGGCCACCGGGCAGCGGATTAACCGTGGAGCGGTGCATGTGCGGCACCGCCATGGCGCGCAGCTCGTCTATTTTCTGGGGGCTGAGCATGTCGTGGTAGCTAACCACCAGTGGGTCGAGACTGTGCTCCTCCAGCTTGAGCGGTGCCAGCTGCCGATAGGCGTGCCACCCACGCGTATAGCGACAGCGCAGCCGACGCTGCTGGGCGGCAGAGGGACCGACCTCGCCGCGACACACCTTCTCGTAGTGGGCGAACTCCTGGGTGAGCTGTGGGCGTATCGTAAGCCAAAATTAGTCGCATAACCACCAAGATAAATCGAACTGAAGGTCTCACTCTGTAGCCGGCTGCTTGCCGTGAATGCGCCCCATCATCGCCGTCGTGCGCCAGGTTGGCGGCCTTATCGCCCAGATGCCAGTTTCGTATGCGCGATGGATCCAGCTCGAGCACGCGCTGGCTGAGCTCGTATGCCGTGTCGAAGTCGCCTAAAATCGTTTGGTAAATATGCATGCAAGTTGGGCCAGCGACTCTGCTCACCCATACGGAATAAACTCTGTGCCACCGTTTCCATGCTGTTCAGCAGGGCGGGCTCCGGGGTGCTGGGGCGGGGCTGATGGCGCCGCAATCGCTCCATGGACTCGCGCAGCCACACTTTCGTGTTGTTGTAGTCCTCCATTTCAAAGAGTTGTTGACCCAACACAAAGCAATCCTGCCAGCTCATGTCCGTGCTAAAAATAATGCCAGCACAAAAATCGAAATGAATATGAGTGGTGCTTGGGCTGGGCACACGACACACGACCCACGACCCACAACTAAAGCTGGACCGGAGCCGCAATGCTCGAAGGCGTGCGGTGCGAATGTGTTGGGCGGCCTTAGATTAATATTCATACAACACGATTCCGCACGATTGCGTTTATCTTTGATAAATTTATCTAGAATAGTCACGGCACTTTAACCGCAACGCTTGAATCCGCTCCTGGCCACAGTTAAATAGTGTGAGTATGTGTGTGTGTGTGTGTGTGTGTCGCACTCCTGCATTTTAAGCTTGACTGGTTATTGCTTATTTGGGTTGTCCCCCTCCTCCAGCCTTCCACTCACCCGTATTTGATGCCATTCAATATGCCGGCAGCCACTTGAGCTACATCCAATTTATAGGTGCTCTGCAGGCGAACTAATGCCAGTGCGGCACCATCCACATCCTCCTGGCTGGGAAAGTTCAGGCCATAGTGCTGTGAAATGTTGAAGCCTGAAATAATTCATTTGAGTTTCCGTTTAGACAATTCCACTGAAATAGATATGGGCATGCTGGGTACTTACGGAGTTGGGCGCTCATTTGCTGGACGCGACTGTCCGCATGTGGCCAGTCCGTGTGGAGGCGCTTCATCAACCGGTAGACATTCACCGGATTGGTCAGATAGTTCTCCAGGCCCTTGGCTGCCAGCGCATGTTCCAGCTTTATGGCCGACAGCTCTCTGTGGATCAGGTTGTGGATGTTGGCTTAGACGAGTTTCAAACTCTAATCATAAATCGATAGCTACCAGTTTCTCTGTCGTCATAGACACAAGAGCCCCAAGACGACTGAGCTTAATTAATTCTAATTCATTTCAGAATCTACGTGATGCCAAACACAAAACTTTTTCTACAACTCGATCAGGCGAGAGCGAAATGCTAAATGCCAAA